CTCACTGCTCTTGACTTTATAACCTTTGTAAGCTTTATGGCTCAATGTATATTAAATTCATGTGAAGATTATGCAGTGTTTTAGTTTTACATTTGATTATTCAGTTTCTGTATTGTTTCTTACTTGAATGCTACTGTTAAATGCATCTAATGTAGGCCTACCTGAATGTTAAAGCACTGTTTATTTCATTTGTATCTTTGTTTTATTGTATTTGTCCTATTATTTTGTAGTTCTTATTTTTAATAAGAAAGATAAATTAAAATAAAAATAAGTAGCCATCTGTCACGAGTGCACTGCTGAGCGGAGTGAGGAGCAAGGAACGGAGAGAGACGAGGAGTACATCAATCCAAATGGGTTTAATTGACACAAAGGAACACGGAACACTCACGCTATACATGAAGACATGAACAATACCGGACGCTGAACTAAAGACAGGGAACACTATTTAAACACATGACAGGATGAGGAGAGGACGAGACACACCTGGGATCAATAGACATAAAACAGGGAACACCTGGAATCAAATCAACCTAATCAGGAAAGGAGCAGGAAACTAACCAAATATGGGCATAGGAAGGCACATGGGGAGCAAGACACACACAAAACACGGAACAAAGTCTGACATAACTCCCCCCCTCCCGGAAGGCACGTCCTCGCGCCACACAACATCCAACGGGGAGGGGCGCTCTGGAGGTCCCTCAGGACAGACACGAGACGGCGGGCCTCCAGAGCGGTACCCGTTCTGGGTGCCATGTTGGATCAGGAGCCTCGGGAGGCCATCGCGGAGCAGGGGACGCGGGAGGCCATGGCGGAGCAGGGGACGCGGGAGGCTACGTGGTGCTGGCACTGGAGGGTGCTGTGGAGGAGCAGGCACAGCAAAGCGCTTACGAGGAGCTGGCACTAGAGGGTGCTCTGGAGGAGCAGGCACAGCAAAGCGCTTTTGAGGAGCTGGGACTGGAGCGAGCTCTGGGGCTGGAGCCGACACTGGAGCGAGCTCTGGGGCTGGAGCCGACACTGGAGCGAGCTCCACATGGATATTTGGCGGGCTTGCCACATTAATGTTCAAAGGGCTTGCCATATTAACAGCCAGCTGAATTGACTCGGGAACTGCCGGCAGAGGGGTTCTGGATCGGGATCGGAGACTCTCCAGACACCGGATGACTGTCTCCTTCCAGTCGAGGTCGGTCGTGTCTGGGAGCTCCGTAGGATGATGGAACGTCATCCCGATCCGGAACAGCGTCGCGAGGGTTTCCCCCTCGAGGGAGCTGGCCAGGGCGAGCGGCACAAACGCCCTCGTGAAGACGATAGGGTCTGGGCTCGCTTGAGCCACTGTGATGAACAGTGCTCGTTCCTCCATTATGGCAGGGAGAGACGCACGGGAAAAAACAAAAACAAAACTCTTTTTAGAAAAGCCAAAAAACAAACGGGGGGAAAAAGGCGCCGCTCACTTTCTGTATCGGTCCGGTATTCTGTCACGAGTGCACTGCTGAGCGGAGCGAGGAGCAAGGAACGGAGAGAGATGAGGAGTACATCAATCCAAATGGGTTTAATTGACAACACGGAACACTCACGCTATACATGAAGACATGAACAATACCGGACGCTGAACTAAAGAAAGGGAACACTATTTAAACACATGACAGGATGAGGAGAGGACGAGACACACCTGGGATCAGTAGACATGAAACAGGGAACACCTGGAATCAAATCAACCTAATCAGGAAAGGAGCAGGAAACTAACCAAATATGGGCATAGGAAGGCACATGGGGAGCAAGACACACACAAAACACGGAACAAAGTCTGACACCGTCCACCCCTAGTTTCAGGTGTTTTAGTTTACTTGGATGTTCTTGATGTTAAGTTTTAGGTTGATTATAACTATATGTTACCAAGTTGAGCAAAGAGTTTTTGTTATCTAAATAGTGGTGGCATTATTATTATTATTATGATTTTTGTTTACATTTATGTCAAAATTACATTTTCAGATTTGTGACCATGCTTTTTTGTAATGCTAAAACACTGCTGGTCACTTTCAAAATCTGTAGTGATGCTTTCTTTTCCAAGAATGTGAAACATATATATTGGTTATATAATTTTCAGTTTTTATAAATATAATTTAAATTAATTTCACACGCTTAAAGCAATATCGTATCGAATATATCGCATTCTTTAACAAGATAACGCATATCGCATTTTTATTCAGTATCACACAGCTAGTTAATAAAATACTTTTTTCATATAGTAGGCTACCTATAATTGAAAAGGGTAAGTGTTAAAGGGGTCATATGATGCAATTTCAATTTTTCTTTTGTCTTTGGAGTGTTACAAGCTGTTCGTGAATAGATAAGATCCCTAAAGTTGCAAAGACTAAAGTCTCAAACCCAAAGAGATATTCTTTATAAAAGTTAAGACTGGTCCACGCCCTCCTAAAACACCTCGTTTAAACATGCCCCCACAAGTCTATGTCACTGTGTGGGAAGATTTGCATAACACCGCCCAAATGTTCACGCAAAGAAAGAAGGCGTAACTTTGATTCTTGGCTCGGGCATGGCGTTCTGAATCCGCGCTGTCTGAGCTCGACGAGCGCGCCTGCTCGCTTCCCCCGTCTGCGCGTCCTGAAGCGCTTGATCAGCGCAGCAGCTCCGCCGACTACTACGTTCAACAAAACGTCCGAATAAACGAAATCCGGTAGAAGATTGTGTGGCGTGTTCTGCCGAATGTTCAGCAGCTCATCCCTGGTAAAACTGATCGTGTTTGAGAAACAAAAAACAGGAAAAACTAACAAAAACAATACAAACACTGGAGAGCCAAACACTGAGGCTGCCGTCTGCGGCGCCATCGCTGGCGTTTCCATGGTTTTATGTTTACACGGCGCGATACGCAACACAGCATGTAAAAAGACAATATAAGTCATTATAATCAGTAATTATGTCCCCACTGGATGCAACAAATGCCTCGTTTGCAATTGGTTTTATTGGTTTTGTCTCGTCGCGCCGGGACATGACATCACAGTATGGTAAGGGGCCTAACATTTCTGTCACACGCTTGAGGTATTCAGCCAATCACAATGCACTGGATAGCTGGCCAATCAGCGCATCCCTCGCTTTTCAGAACGATTAGCTTTGTAAAAATCGGCGCGTTTCAGAAAGGCGGGGCATAGAGAAGCAACAATAATGTACAGTATGTGGAAAATAATGTGTTTTTTTAACTTTAAACCACATATTCATTATTCATTACACCAAATACACAAAATAATGTTCTTTTTAGCAATGTCATATGACCCCTTTAATAATAAAAATGTATGGTCTTAAAAATAGGCTTTATTTTAAGCATTTTTATACATAACCATTCAAATGTTTGGGGTTGTTAAAAGTTTTTTTTTTTGAAAGAAGTTGCACTACTTGTTGTGTATGCCTTATCAAAATGATCAGTTTTTTTATTCAGCCCATGTTCTGTTCATTTTGCGTATTTTTGGGCCATTCAGTTCATAGTAATATGAATTATTTTGATGGTTGAGGGTTTCTTTTAGGTTCAAATTTGGAACAATTTTGGTCCTTTGTTTAGGTTGCCAATTTTATTCATTGTAAAATCTGGGTCGGAAAGCAAAAGCACTGTTCCTTCACTTTAATAGTGAGCCATTACAGACATTATCTGTAATGTGGGTGCCAGCCAATTCTGTCAGATATGACGGTCAGGTCTTGCATTTGAATCTTGAAATTACGTGTTCCAGCCTGATGGTTGTTATGGAGTGTCTTTTTGATGTAGAAGTTTGTGTTGTGCGCTGTTTGCTCTGCAAATGACTGGTAAGAGTCACAGATCACACTTCACTGCTTAGCAATGCTGTGCAAACTGCCAAAAGAGAGCAGAGCACGAAAGGCTAAAGAAAATCAGACTTCCCTTAGTGTGTTTTCATGCACTTTGCAGTTTTGCAGACCCTAAGGATATTAGGCAACTCTGAAAGCCCCATTTGATTCGTTGATCGAGAATGGCTAAATGGGGTCAGGCGCTGCGGGCTCCTCTGATTCTGACTCACCGAAGTCTACTGTGGGAAGCATCCAGAGTTTTACCATGCTAATGTACAGCTACAGTACCACAATTGAAAAAGCTCTACGGTTACTTCATAAAAGATTTCAGATGCCTATCACTTAGTCTGAGATAAGCCCCATTGATCTGGCGCCTTCGCATAAATAGACGTCTGCATCATTAAGACATTGAAGGTATGTGTACAGGGTGTGTTTGTTTGTCGTTCAGTTTGCTTTCAACATTATCTATTTGCGTACATTTTGTAAATGCATTGTCAGTCTTGTTTGTGCGTGTGCATCACCGTGAAATATCTTTCCGAGTTTTGTGGGCCATCTCATCTATTTTGCAGAAGACCTTTAGTCTTGTGTTTCCACTCAGTCTGTTACTGTCTTATCAGGGCTTTGCAGTGAACTGGACACGTACAGTGAGGCAGGTGAAGCCGAGCTCTTGTTCCTGACATCCTTTTCCCATCTTAAAGAGTCCTTTGAGGCACAAACAATAGGACAGCAGTCCTACTCCAAAAGAACTGCATCATTTGTCCTCTTAGTTCTCAAATGTGAAGGGCTATTCTTAGTAAGATTAAAATAAAAATGTTAAAGCGATAGTTCACAGAGAAATAAAAATTAAAGATTTAAATTTCTGGTTCCCTCGACAAAAACCCATGGATTTTTTTTTTTTTTTTTTTGGATTATCACAGAAAATAGCAAAAGTTTATGTATCTTACATGTTTATTATGATAATCTTAAAGGGGTCATATGATGCGATTTCAAGTTTTCCTTTCTCTTTGGAGTGTTACAAGCTGTTCGTGAATAGATAAGATCCCTAAAGTTGCAAAGACTAAAGTCTCAAATAGTGGTCGACCGATATATCGCAAAGCCGTTATATCGGCCGATATTTGGCATTTTTCAAATGTCGGCATTGGCCGATAAGTTTTTCTGTTTGGCCGATGCGTTCGAGGAGGGACTTTTATTTTGACGGCGCACCTGACTTTTATTTTGACGGCGCTGAGAGCGGCAGCGCCTGAGCACATAGTGCTCACATTATCCCTCTTGTTTGCCGTCGTCTTGATACATATAGAAGTCTGTCTAATAATCCAATAGAGGTGTTAAACAAAGGAATTAAAATGCATTTTGTATGTTTCTCTTATTGCTTCATACGTTTGTTATATTTGACTGTAAGTGCCCTGCGAAGTGGACATTACCGGATATTTCGCCATGATTCCAGTTTGAAGGGAGCGTATATGTTCCAGACAAAGGGCATTTAAGTGTGCGAGACGTGAATTTAAATTGTATTTATTTACAGAGGTATATGATGTCCCACTTCACGCTTCTCTAGTAAGTTTCGTATGTGTGTGAAGACGCTGCAGGCAGCGGCGCAGCGTAAATCTGTAAATGAATATTCCGAATTGAAGTAAACTTCAACGGATTTCCCCTGCTCAGGGAGTAGGGAGCAATGGACCATGTCAATTGGAACACAGTTCATGCACGGAGCTCACTTTTAACGAGATGATGATCTGAATCAGGTGTGTTAACAAAGAGAGACATGCAAAACATGCAGAGCGGGGATACGCGAGAACTGGAATTGAGAACCGCTGATCTAAAGTATAAGTATGTTTATTTTACAAATTAATTTTTTAATCCATTTTCAAATGATTTCAAATTCCTTAAATATTAATTAAAATAAATATATATATCAATTATATCGGCCATCAGCCACCCTGTTTTCCAAGATATCGGCGTCGGCATCGGCTCTAAAAAAAACAATATCGGTCGACCACTAGTCTCAAACCCAAAGAGATATTCTTTATAAAAGTTAAGACTCGTCCACGCCCTCCTAAAACGCTTCGTTTAAACACGCCCCCACATGTCTACGTCACTGTGTGGGAAGATTTGCATAACACCGCCCAAATGTTCATGCAAAGAAGAAGGCTTAACTTTGATTCTCGCTGTAGAATTGTTGCTGCGAAATTTCGTTGTGAAAGAAACTACTTTGTTTGGCCTTCCAAAAGAGGACAACTAGAAATCAGTGGTTAAGTTGTATTTACAACACTGTTCCAGAACAGTTCAAACCAAATATTCAGATTTGTGCAACGCATTTTACGTTCGTTGTGAAAGCGAAACTACTTTGTTTGGCCTTTCAAAAGAGAACACGACTAGAAATCAGTGGTTAAGTTGTATTTACAACACTGTTCCAGAACAGTTCAAACCAAATATTCAGATTTGTGCAACGCATTTTACGGAGGACTAGGACTGTTTCTTGGAAGAGTAGCCTACAATGCCGGTGTTCTGACAAATAATGCTGACTCACAGCCTGTAAGTACGTTTTCATATTTAAAGGATTTGCCACTGACGATTCAAACGCGAGTTTTGAGCAGTGTAGAGTAGCGCTTGTTGTTTGTCGTTTCTCCGATCACAAATGCAGACATGGTTTTATGTTTACGTGGCTCGATACGCAACGCAACGCGTAAAAAGACAGTATAAGTCATTATAATCCATAATTATGTCCCCACTGGATGCTACAAATGCCTCGTTTGTAATTGGTTTTATTGGTTTTGTCTCGTCGCGCCGGGACACGGCATCACAGGATGTAACATTTCCGTCACACGCTTGAGGTATTCGGCCAAGCTGACCAATCAGAGCACACCTCGCTTTTCAGAATGATGAGCTTTGTAAAAATCAACGCGTTTCAGAAAGGCGGGGCATAAATGAGAAAAATTAATGTACAGTATGTGGAAAATAATGTTTTTTTAAACT